CCATGTAGGGGAACGTGCCTTGCCCAGGAGGTGCTCCGGGGACTGGGGGGTTGTTAGGACAGGGCATCGGAGGCGGCATGGGAGGAAAACAGGGAGGTACCGGGAAGGGGGGCCTCATCTGGTGGTTGGGGAAGGGGGGCCGGATTGGGCAGGGGGGAAGAGGGCCTTGTGCTGAGGGAGGCATGGGTGGAGGGAAGGGTACAAAATCTGGTCGCGGAGGCATGTAACTGGGGGCGGGAGAGTTTGAGAAGGTGGTGGAAGGAACACTAGGAGGTTCATATTGATACTGCACAGGAGGCTGCTGAGGGTGAAGCAGTCTCAGGTTCTGGGGCCGGAAGGCTGGCGCAGAGGGTCTGGCTCCATGTCCCCCTCGCCCTCGGGGACAGCCTCGTCCCGGATGGAACGACATTCTATGACTTTGTTGGAGGAAAGAAAAAGAAGAAAAAAAAACTCACTATGGGAACAGGGTTTCACAAATGACTGAACAGCTTCAAGAGCAGCTGACAGACCCCTTGGGCCACTGGGATATTCCACCCGCCCGACACTGAGTTCTCTGTAATACCTGACACCTCATGGCCAGTAAACTCTTCCCGGCTCAGCCACCCAACCCACTGCCACGGTCACTCTCTGGACCGTGTCACTCCCTAAAGCCGAAAGCTGCTCCACCTCCAGAATGACGAATTCAACATCCCACGGTTCAATCATTTGCTACCATGTCCTTGCTTACGTTCCCCAAAAATCTTGACGTCACAGTGTCATCCTGTCTGCACACCCCACATTTTCTATATCTGTACCAGCGTCTTCCTGTCTTCACCTTCGTTCCCACTCAGCACAGACTCTGCAAGTTGAACATAACATGTCCTAAAAGGAACGAATGGTCTTCCCTCCAACACGACACCACTTGCTCATCCATGTATTTTCTATCTCAATAGGTGCCGTTTAGGTTCCAGGTACTTTCACTTTTATCATCTTTGCCATAGACATTTTCACTGCACAACTAATTGGCCTCGAGGCAATTTTTCCGTTAAAATGATAACATGTAGTCCAAATTTAGTTGAGGTGTATCTTTCTACAAGTTGGTTCTCTGGAGTCAGTCCTTCCAGCCAAAAGCCAGGTATCAGTGGCTGGCGTAGGTCCCTCACTGCTGGTGCATATAGCTAGCAGGTGACGGAACCAGTGCTGGCAGGCAAGGGGCCATTACACGTGGTTTGCACCCTTGCCCATGAGGAGTAGCCTCACAAAGGCAAGAACAGATGTCCCTTCTCTCCTTGGGACCAATGCAGTTTAACACCACTGCAGGTCACAAGTAGGTGAAGCGGGCCTGACCACGGCAGGGGTAAGTGTCTCAAGGTCATCGGAGAGCTATTTTAACTTTGTAGACTGTACCTAACCAAGGACTGGTCTTCGTGCCATGAGAAACATGGGTCCAACTGTGTGATTGTCACTCCTCCATATCTCCTATTGATAAGGCCCCAGCAGTACCTGTCAATAGCTAAGTGCTTATTGACAACAACAGATTTTAACAACATCCTAGCACAGTTCCCTCAATGTAAGCAAATCACCTTTAAATCAAAACAACTTTACTTAGGTCATAAACAAGTGGATCTGAAATCATAACAAACCAATACACAACACCTCATGGTGATAGTCTATAGTTAGCATTTCTTCCAGATGACATCAATCTGCCCATCTGCTCCGAGAGCTGGTTTCTTTCATTGCAGTGGTTCCCAAACGCAATGCAATGGGAAGAGAAAGGGAGGCTGAGGGCCCTCTTTGAGGGCACAGAAGGAAGTGCTTAGGTACAATCCACAAAATAAAATCAGTCATTTACATTGTACTCCTGTGAATGTATACACATTTTAAATGTATTCAAACACTTTGTATCTCCCAATAAAGTCTTTATGTCGTTAATTCATTTTATCATGTTTCATTGTGTCATTTTTAATGTCCCTCTTTTATTTGTCATTATCTTTTTTACAGCAAAACTGCCTTACAGCCAATTAGTCACCCAGAAAAATGTTTGCAGGGAAAGTGCTTGCAGCAAAGATGCTTATGGAGAAAATATCAGGCACATAGTGGTCCTAAAATCACACACCAGGGAATTATCTAACAATTTTTCCTTCTTTACCCCTTTTAACTGAAAGTTTATTTTAAAATTCCTATCATTTTTGGTTCGTAAGTACTTCCTGAGCTCACCCACTTCACACCATCATCTCTGGCCTCGCTACTACAATAACAGCCTCACGGGACTTTCTACAGCCCTATCACCACCCCCGCAGGTCTGTTAGGTTTCCTGCTGTTGCACACTCTGTGCTGCTTCTCCGCAGGTCCTATAAGAATTACAATCCACCAGCTCTTTACCTAATGCCATCCTTAATGTTGCAGGCACCTGAGAACCATGGGTTCCATCACAGCAGGGCTCTGGGTCGTCTCATTAACTGCTCTGGTCTGAGTTCCCAGCCACGCACACGGCCCAAGTGAACATATTTTCCCCTCTCTTCACAGACCTAAATCTTCCCCACAGTCCATGACCCGGCGCCAGTGTTTGCTCCTCTCTCTGTTCTCCCGAAACTACTGCCATCCCTCCCACACCACTCACCATGTATTGCCTTGCATCGCGATGTACTGTCTGGGTCAGTGTCATATCCTCAAGGACTGTAAGTTCTAGAGCACAGAAAGAATAAAAGAGACATAAAAACGTTTCCTAAACTGTTAACGCTAGAAAACCTTTCTGCAATTACCTTAACGCTAATTTTGCATTCTCCGAGGCATTTAGCACACTAACGAAATTAAGAGGATGTTGAACTGAATTAAAGTTTACAACTAACTTAAGATGTCCTTAATACTTGTCTCACTGACTCAAAACAATCAGTAACTGAAAAGACTGAAAATCTGGGCATATTCCATCTCTAATCTGCTAAAAGACCAGGGAAAGTAATCATTTCTCCTCCCCTTCTCCATACTCTAGTTTCCTTCACAGTGAGGCCAGCATTCAAATTCAAACATAACTGTGATTTCGGAGAGAAAATAATCATCTTTGCGTTGCATTCCCTACTCTTCTCACAGCAGAATGTTGTGAACATGAATGACTTTCCAAATACTCAAACGTCAGAAAAATGTTTAAAACTCTAAACTAAATATTAAACACAACGTACTGTACTGTTAACGTAGCTGCATCTCCCTGAAGTCTTTCTAGCTTAACTTTTACCAGTAAGCTTAAGGCAGGTTTTCAAATGGCTCATGAGGACAGTTTCAGGTTATTTAGCTGTATCGATCACCAGCGTCAATAAATAGCAGGCACCAGATAATATCTGAGTAACGATTACTTTTCAAACTAAGGCCCTCAAGATAAATCCAAGGCCTAGACAGCTGATCTTGCCACCACGGGCTAATCACTACCAACAGAATCAAATTCAAACTCCGTGTTTGTTATTTAAGGCCCTCTACAAGCTGAATCCAACTTCTTCCAGGCTTATTCTCCATTATCTTCCCCACGAAGCACCTATTGCCCCAGAATTCCCCAGCTGCCTAACATACCAGATACTATCATATCACCCAGCTTGTTCTTTGCTCCCGCTCTTCTGAAATCTCTGACCGTATGAATTTGCCCACTGAATTCTACCCATCTACTCATGTCAAGTGCCACCTCTTCTGTGAAGCCTTTCCTGGTTCCCTGGACATACTCTCACTCCCTCTAGACTTCCCTCTTAGTCTGTACTTACTTCTTTTGCAGCACTTACCAGAGACTGCCTCACATTGTAGTCATGTGTGCGCATGTCTAGCCCCCTGATGACATGGGTTGATTCACAGTCATTTCTGAGTCCTTCACAGGCCTTGGCAAAGCACCCTGCACACAGTAGGGAGTGAATAAACGTTTACTGTCTCACCAACAGTACATGTTTCTATGTTGCTACAGTACATTTCCCGTTCACATATATCCATAACAGATTTGCCTTATCAAAACCAGACAAAAAGACCTTTCCACTGATTCACACAACATTCATTGAGCCAAAACGTGCAGGGCACTGTTGCAGGCCTGCAGTAAGACACACAGCCTACAGTACTCAAGGAGCTCAGAACCCACAATACAAATACATTTTTAAGTAAAAATAATACAATGCAATAAACACAAGAAAAGAGATATGCACAGGGTTTAAGGGAACACAAAGGAATGTGCTGGACCTACAGGTGGGCAACAGTCAGAGTCACTAACACTCTCATTCACTGGGTAACAGATCTCATAGATTCACTATGAGATCCTCCAGGATGTTTCTATAGATAGAACATCTAAAAACAATGACTATGAAACTGGCCTACTAAAGGCATAACCAGGCCGTGTTGTAGATGTAAACTTTAATTCAAAAGTCCAAGAATTTACTGCAACCGGGAAAGTAATCATTGTCTGCGTCTGCCTACTCCTAGGCTGGTGTTTGGAAGAAGGGAAAATGAGGCGCTGTGAACAGTTAACACGTCCAGGAACATCAGTCTATGTAGAGAGAGTTGCAAAGTATGGCTACATTTTGATTAAGACGCCCTCTGTCCGCCCAGGTGCATCCACAGCCCCATGGCCTTCCTCTGGCTGAAGCGCACGCTTCCCTGTTTGCATCTCCCGCCAGACGGGGCGCCCCAGCCAGGCGAGCGCTGGGCGGG